GTTAATTAGTATATATTTCTGTTTCGATTTATTTGCTGTTTGTGTTATTCATTTATTTAGGAAATTGATTGCAAAAGTTATAATAAAATGCAGAAGAGTATTTTATAAAAATATCGTTTATAAAATAAAGTATTTATTTGGCCAACTTTATTTTAAAAATAATTAATTTGGTTGCATTTATTGGAGAAATTATCGTATTGGTCTTATTTCATTTGGCTTGTCTAGGCAGCTTTCAGTCCTCCAACTAGGAACCTACTTTAAAAAATCTTTCGTTGATTAAAACTAAGGGTATGAACTTAGCTTAGTTAAGATGGTGATTAACATTGCTTTTCTTTTGCCTGATGCTCTTTTGGTAAAATTGCAAAAACTCTTTGCTGGGAATTCATTTTGCGGTTCACCAAAAAAATATTATTTTGTCATTTCTTTTGTTGCTGATGAAAACCACTTTGGAACTCCTCCACAGAAGGCTTTGGTGTTTTATCTTTCGCTTTCTGTGTGGTTTCGCTCCCCACAAGACAATACCGCAGTTAGCAAAATTAATGATGTTGTTTAGAAGCATTAAGGCTTGTTTTTTTTTTTTTGGTAATATTTTCACTTGAGGGTTGTAAACAATTTTACAAAATAATGGCGTGGGTGTATTTGTATCATCGCTGCTGGGTTTCTTGTTTGACCTTTCATGGCTGTGGCTCCATTACCTTCCGGCCAGGGTTTTCATGTTTTGGGGGGATGCTGGGACTTTTCCCCTTCTTTCGATGATAAGAACGTCTCTCGGTAGAATAGATTAAATAACGGCTTGCAGTTATCTGTTATTTTTTTATTTTGTTTTTTATTTTTTATTATTATTTTTGTTTGTTGTGTTTTTGTGTTTTTTTTTATTAGATTTTATCATTTATATAATTTTAAAGAGAAGAGAGGGAAGAAGTAGTATGAAAACGAGATGGTGTATAACAGTAGGCCAGTAGGAAAAATGGAATGAAAAAAGGATAAGGGAGGGGAGGAAAAGGAGGGCTAGATAGAAGAAGGCAGTTAAAAATTATAAAAAAAGAAAATTTTATGGAAGTGTTTGATGGATTGAGGGAAGAATAATTCGATGACTTTTTTATTCTTGCCTGGTGGTGGTAATATTAAACATAGTTTGATTGTGAATATATACCTTGGGCTCACTCGTTGGCCTTAAAAAAATTAAAGACGAGCAGCTTCCAAACTGTAGAAGAAAAATGAGGGGAATTTCACAGCCCGTGCGCAGAAAAATGAAATTAAACTCGAGGAAGTTAAAAAACCAGGCCTTGGGAAAAAAACAACCTTTTTGCTGCTTTTCTGTGTTGGGCTATTTTATGATTGAAGATCAATTGTTGGTTTGCTTTCTGAATTTAATAAATTAAGGCTGATAATGTTTCGGTTTGGTGGGGGCCTTCATCATTGTTAAAATATTAAAGCATCTTTGTTCTGAACATAACTGCTCTTATCAAAATGAATAACATTTACACGAGTTAAATCCATTTCAGGCACATCGTCATTCAATTCATTGCAATTCTCTGATTGAGAGGGTGGTAATGTGTAAGAATAATTGCTTTTAATAAATCGGTATTTGTATGGGAGCTTTAAAGCTTACGGTGTGAATAGATAAAAAGATGATTACCTTACATTTCAGAACAGGAAAATACTGAATATTGCGATAAAAACATGGTTCTCTTTTAGATCACTCATTTGCTGTATGATCATTTGCCAGTTGTTTTTTTAGGAATGAAAATGTTAATAATAATTTTTCAATATAACTCAAGTATAATAAAGTATTATATAAACATAATCCTCTCGTCATGAATCTTCAGTAATATATAAAGGAATAAAACTGAAGGTTGTGTGTAATTGTTAAGTGCCTACTGTTCTGGGAATGATGTCGAGCTCAGAGTTGGGAGAAATAAAATCATTTATTCACATGATTTTATCACATTGAAACTCCCTGGCTGGCTTTACTGTTAAATTAAGATATGGTATTTTATTGCTGATTATAAGTTTGAATATATTTAATTATTGCAAATTGAGGCATTAAACTAAAGCTAACTTTTAGGAGAAAAAGTGCATTCTTGTGAGGCCACGCCTTAATTATTCCATGTTAAATGACCCTCCATGCTGGCTTACTTATATATGGGTGAAATTCTATATTGGACTGAATTTATTCACACATACTGTGAGCCAGCTGCCTATACACATATGTACACAAACATACAAAATTCCATTCAACGCACAGTCTACCCAATATCGCTTCTATTGCTAAGAAGTTATGATAATACTGATTAGGATTGGAGCGATGCTCTGTCCAGGAGCTGTGGGTGAGAAGAGCGATGTTAGGGAAGCTGAATCCATCCATGCGTACAACACCTCTCCACCCACTATCATGACACAGTGGTCCCCTTGAGCAGGTCCGTCAGCTCTTTCATCCCTGCTGCTGTCAGATCTTCTAGCACCACCCGTGCCTATGATCAGATGTTGTAGTTTTCTGTTTTTCAAACATTACCACCACTTACTTCACCATAGCTTTTATATTTCTGTCTTTATCTGTATTTATTTTTTTCACTCCAATTACTTACTTGCTGCTGTGACGAGTGAATTTCCCCGTTGTGGGATGAATAAAGTATAATCTAACCTAATCTTATCTAATCTAATCTAAGTATGGCAATGACGGTTTAGGTGTGAATGGAGGCAGGAGTTGAATTGCCTAGAATATGACAAATATCAGGAGTTCCTGGCCAGTTTCCTCAACTTCTTTTTACATAAGTTTACATTCGGGCCACTAAAAATTTACAAATTTAGAGGCTTGGTGGTTAAAGATATTAGTGTCCATCACTGGAACCACACAGATAATAATAATAAAAATAACCTGTTTGGTAACAAAGACATCACATAATATTTGGCCTGCACGTCCTCAGCCTGTGGGTCTGAGATCAGGTTTATTGTAACCGTGTTTCGCAGACACTGAGACAGTCTGGGCTGCTGTTGTCGAGGTAGTTATCCGCTCCAGTTAGCTTCACATTGCTCGGTCAACAGACATGAAACCAGAAAGCGTCAGGCCAGTGCCCCACTTTACCCCGAGCTTTGATTTGCTGCCTTCTGGGCCGACTGACAGCAGACAATAACCCTCATCTCTGAACACTTAAATGCTGTTTATCAGACTGCAGCTTCATTAGCTGTATGGTGTAATCTGAACACTTCTGCAGCTGCTTCAAGGTAAAAAAACAAATCTTACAGCAACACTTTTCATTTATTCAGAGTCGTGGTGTGAGCACTGTGATCAGATCATCATCTCTTGCAATATTTAAAACAGTAGAGCTGCAATTTGGTCCCATTTGTGTCACACTGATTCAAACTGCCCTAAAATACCTGCAGGAATGTCATTAAACAAGGCAAACTGTGAAACAGCTGCCTGATAACAACCTGGAGGTTAAAGCCTCTCAACAGAAGCAGGTCTAAAGCTCAGCTTGAGCACATTTCTCGTACTCCTGTTTTTATAAATAATGAAATAAATGTTATGTTCAGGAGACTCATTACACACATTCCTCCAGCTGCTGGAGACCAAGTGGGTCATCTGAGGCAAATCATTATCATATTGTCTGCTCAGTGGTGGTGAAAGGTTGATAAAGTTTAGCAAAATGTACTCTGAGCATAAATTTAAAGAAGAAACTAAAGACTGTCCTTAGTAATATTATCACATATTCACATCGCTGCCAGTATGAATAGTTTTGATGCGCCATATTCAGAGGCGAGTATTTTGAATTTTCAAGTTATTTATTCGTCCCTGGTGTGAAAAAGCCTTAACAGGACAAATTAATGAAGATACTGGAAAATATATTCTTGTAAATTACACCTGTATGTTTAATTTAAACACCATAGTTTTTTTTAATGTGCACTTTAATTTGTAATTTTTCAACTTCTATTTGTATTTTATTATTTCTCTCCTCCTCTCTCCTCTTATTTCTTCTTCTTCTTTTTATTCATTTGCACTTATTTGCTATTGTATTATTTTCCATAATTCAATTTATTATTATCTTAAAGAGCATGAACAATCGAGGCGTATATGTTATTTGCATACTATCTTGGTAAATGCAAATTAAAAGAATAAATGCAATTTTCTTCTTTTCTTTTTCGGGGTGGAATAAAGATGGAAGGAGTTTTACTGTTTGTTTGTTCTAAAACAGCCTCCTGTGTAGCAGTATTCATCCAAAGACCTGATCCATACAGGATTCACTTTCTTTGCTTTACAGTTCATTTAGTCACAGAAGTCCAGATCCTCCATCGTTCGGGGCTCCAGGTCGACCCACTTCATCTGTCACAAGCATTATAAAGCTGATTTATATCTGTGGGGTTTTCAGACGTGTCAGTTTATGTGTCTGTCCCAGTTTATGAGCTTCAACCTGCCACTGCTGTGTGTGTGTGTGTCCGGTAGGCAGTAGGACAGTGTCTGTGTCCTCAGGCAGTAGAGCACAGCTGCTCTCTGTGTTCATGCCTCAGCAGACAAAATGATACCAGCACACTAACACACACACACACTCCCTCCGTGTATGTGTGTGTGTGTGTGTGTGTGAAACTTAGAGCGTCTTGGGATGTTGCTGATTAAATGCTTCCTATTTGCTCTTTAATTAAAAATCTGAGCCACTGTCTCCCCTCCTCCTCTCTCCTGCTCTCCTCTGAGCTCTCCTCTTTTTGTTTTAGGGTGGATTATTATAATTACATTATTGGATTATAATATAAAGGCTTCACTTTACTGTCATTCATTTTTTGCAACGACATGAATGACGGCTGATCTGCTCTGAGATACTTTGCGGACAAAGGAAATCTGATCAGACAGCTTTAAATATCTACGTTAAGATGTGACAATGCTTACAGTTATAGACAAATTAATCCCTTATTTGGTAGTTCTTGCATTAAAAGGCACAGTTTAAAGCTATTAGAGAAGGTTGTTTTGCATTTGTCTGATGACATCACACTGAATTAGTTAGACTCACGTCGCTCTGCGTCTTGGTCAGCTCTTTAGCAAAGACCGTCTCGATGGTTTGGGGCATCTGGGCGTACAGACTGCAGCCGGCTTCCTTCTTACTCTCCTCTTTGTATGCTTTCTGCAAAACAAAACTTTTTACTGTGCAACATATTAAAATCACCAAACGTATTACCGCATTCTTTTCAGGAAGCAGTACGACCACAATCTGACTTTGTTGCCTCATCAGTTCTAGAAGTGCTAGTATAAATATAAAGAGCTATATCAATATCATTTGAATTATGTTTAGAGATCCCTGGAAATAGTATTTGTGCCAAAAACTGAACTCTCAGGTCACTTTCTGTGAAAGGTGTGTCATTATGAGGCTTTGTAACAACACAATATATGTAATATCACAACAATATGTTATATATATATAATATAATATATTGGTGTATGAATAAAGATCAATGTCCATCGGTTCCACACAGGTTTACAGATTTTAAATGTGGGGGTAAAAAAATGTGGTATCTGAATCTGCACTGGGGGGGAAAGTCTGTCTGATGCATCCATAATTAGACAGTTTGGTGTAATTAACATTACAAAACGGGATCAAAATGATGTCGACCTCGATCTCACGCCAGAGGCTTAGTGTTAACTGTAATTGGCACCACATTTCCCATAAGCACCATTGCTTCCTCTCCATCTGCTTTTATGTCAAATGATTTTCTCATTAGCTGCACAAACTCTGGTTCTAACTGCATAACGTGTTCACGCTGTAAAATGAGAAAATGAATTATATGAGTATGTTATAAAACACTAATTAAAAATGCCAGTGTTTGTGGGCTGAGGGTTGCTTTGTACCTCACTGTACAGCTGAGATTGCTCCTTTGCATGTTGGGTGTCTTTGGTCTCCGGCAGCAGAGAATACAGACAGCTAACCAGCTCCTTCTTCCCTGCCTCCTTGTATTTACTCTGGAACGACAACATTAGATCAGTAACTGCACAGTGACAGAGCGTACAGTCCCACACACCTCGCTGCAAAGACATGAGCAACACAACAGGAATCTTTTGTCTTGTGTTGTCAGCATCCTCGTCTTGTTTCAGCTGGTTTTTTTTTTGGAGCACCAAGGGACACATTCTTCATTCTGCTTCAAGTACACAGTCGCTTTTTACTGTGAGCTAGTTTCCCTTTCTGTTTTAAAATGAATAGAAACAGAATTTAAACATTTACTGTTTGCTGTGTAATCAGGGTTATTAAGACAGAATGCAGGAAGGTTTCACATGATTGCGTCTATTCAGTGTATTTTCTAGGTATTTAAGTTGATAGTTTAACTGAATATAAACTCGTTTGCTGATGACAATAAACTGCAGGCCCGTTAGTGGCTGATTCAGAGGAACAGGAAGATTTCCGGTGGGCCATTGAGAGGGTCGGTAAACAATCATTTTATAAAACAGATGAAGCAGCTCCACTCGCAGAAGCCCAGGAGGTTGCAAGCGAGGGGACTTGGTAGAAGATGTGAGTATATTAAAAAAGACAAGATGGAGTTGAAAAGGCCAAAATAAAACAGAAAAAACTGTCCAAGCTGAGGCGGCCAACAGTGTCAATCTCAGCAACTTGTTTATGATTAAAACTTGCGGCTTGAGACTGAAACAAGCACCAGAAGTTGATGGTGACAATGTGACTGGTATGATAATTTAGGCTAGAGTGCTAAGATGTCAGGCCTGCCAAACAAAATGTAATGTATAACAAATACAGCAAAATATCTAATAATACTAATAAGACTTTCTTGACTTGCAGGCACCTTGTTAAACAGTTGTTAACAATTTAAAATACTATGAAATGACTGGATAAAGTTATATTTTAGATGCATGAGTAACAAAGCAGAGAGCCTAAAGAGAAGCACAACACAGCAAATGTCTGTGTCGGAGCCACATGCTGTGAGTTAGATTCAGAAGTTCAGCGCTGAATCTTTTGATTAATTATTAATCGGTAATGTTGGAGATAAAAAAATAAAACCCAACACACAAGCTGGCTATTTCAGGCAAACACACACTAAAATCTTTAACTGACACGCAGAGTGAGTGTTTCTCACCTCGCTGTGTGTCTCAGCCATCTCTTTCACAAACTGAGTCTGCAGAGTTTCAGGCAGCAGGGAGTACAAAGTGTTGGGCAGATCCTCGTTGTCCTTCTTGTACTTTGTCTTGATTCAAAAAATAAAAAAAGGGAAAAAAAAAGGTGAAAACAGTTCTGGTGTGAAATCCACCCAATCCAAGTACCCATAATAACAGACTTATGTGCTTCTTTTAAGTTTACACTATAGGAATTCGTAATATCTAACTCTAATGTAAAAATAAATTTGTTTGCTTATATAAAAATATAAATTACACAATTATTTTTGATGGTTGTTTATCCATATCTGGCTGCATTCATTATAAAAACAAACACTTCAATAATAATCAATCATAATAACTGTATGAGGCGTTCAGGGTCCTCACCTCACTCTGTATCTCCGACATGTGCTTGGCAAAGTGGATCTCCGCCGTCTCAGGGAGGAGTGAGTACAAGTTCTTACTGATCTCCTTCTTCCCCTCTTCTTTATACTTCACCTACCAAAGAGCAACACAGAGCTCTCACTTTACCGAACGGACCACACGGGCACTCAGCAGTGACGCTCTGTAACGTGTTCCTCACCTCGCTGTAAAGGTCTCTCAGCTCTTTGGCCAGCTGTGTCTCGGTGGTTTCGGGCAGCTGGTGGTAGAGAGAACTGCTCACCTCCTTCCTGCCGTCCTGCTTATATTTCACCTGCACAAAGACGGAACAGAACGGAGAGAAAACTGACTTTCTGACCAGGTTTCAAGTTGAAATTGCTGCTAGATATAGTAAACAAAAAGAAAACTGTACAAATATCCAAAGTTAGATATATATTTAAGTTACTTCTGGATGAACCAGACACCAAATGAGGGTTTAAAGTCAGGAAGGAGGTTGTTGGACACAGACACCCACTGGTTCCTGGTTGCAAGTCCAGTGGAAAGGAAGTACTGTTCATATAATACAGGACCTGAACACATCACGCTGTATCGGTACGCACCTGACTCTGCAGCTGTGAAACCTCTTTGGCGTGCAGGGTGTCCAGAGTCTCAGGCAGCTTCGAGTACAGAGAGCTGGACGCGTCTTTCTTCCCTGCTTCTTTATATTTGTTCTAGAAAATAAGACAAAACAGAAATCAGTGATCCTGATAACACACTGTAGTTGTTAAATGAATCACACACTGTACCTCACTCTGTATTTCAGACACAGCTTTGGCAAACTGGATGTCGTTGGTCTCTGAGAGCTGAGAGTAAGCGCTGACCGTCTGGCTCTTCTTCCCACTCTCCTTGTACTTGTTCTGCAAACAACAAGACATACTCAGAAAAACATCTTCAAACTGTGCACGTCTTGTGTTCTGACATGTATTTGCAGCTTATTTATCTACAAGCGTGTTACAGAAGCAGGATTAACTCTCACTGTGAACATTTCTTTTTCTACTTTTATTATCCGACTTTTCCCTTTTTTTCCGTCTTTGAGGTGAACATGGACGGTGGTTCAGAGTCTTTTAGTGATGGACATTAAGGCTTTGAACTCAGCTGGTGTGAGCAGAAGATTTTGATTTTTATTCTCTAAGAGTTTGTAGTTCAAGTGCTTCTCATGTAAAGAGAAAGCAGGACCAACCACAGAGATCCAACTGCATACAAAGGCTGAAGAACCATAAAAACAATGGTTACTGTAAATGTTCGGATTTGATCCACAGCACGAGTATCTTACACACACTTTTTACTTCACTACATTTATCTGACAACTTAAGTTACTAGTTACTTTGCAGATTCAGATTATTAATACAAAATATAAATCCTTTAATAAATTTCAATGTTCCCAGTTAAACTGTTAACTAATATATAAAGTAGTGGCAATTAGCTCTTCTTTTACCAGCTGCAACATAAAAGTAAAGAACACATTAATGCATCAATAATATCAATAATATGACAATATAAGTACTTTTATTTTTAGTACTTTAAGTCTATTTTGATGCTAACACTTACGTTATTTTACTTAGGTAAGAGTCTATTCACACTGTAGTCTTGCTTCTTTCACTTTAAAGAATTAAAAGCAGAAACACATTTAAATATTTAAGAGTAAAAGAAGTGAGTATGTCCACTGACTGTAGCCTCAACGTCAACCAACATGTAAGCTCAAATCAAACTAGTCATAATGTAATAAGATACATGTTTGTGGTAACAAGAGCAATGGGTCAGTGTGTGTGTGTGTGTGTGTGTGTGTGTGTGTGTATGTGAGCTGTACCTGACTCTGTATCTCGGTCATCTCTCGAGCGAACTGTGTCTCCAAGGTTTCAGGGAGCTGAGAGTACAGAGACGACGCCATCTCCTTCCTCCCTCCATCTTTGTACTTTTTCTGTCGGAAACAAAGAATCAAAGTGAAAACCGCTGGGTGGGATTCTTCTCCAGCAGAACCAGTCTTAGTTTCACCCATAACCAGTTTATGATGTTAAAGGTCCAGTGTGGAACATTGAGGAGGATCTATCGGCAGAAATGGAATATAATATTGATAGGAATGTTTTCATTAGTGTTTAACCAGAATGAATGAGCAGTTTTTATCTATCTGTCGAGCCATGCAGACAGTTTCGGTTTTATTTGTTCAGGTTTTAAATTCTGTTGCTAAGATTTTGGAAATGATGGACAAAAATATGAAAAAAGCATATTAATCCAGAATATAATGATTAATCTGTCTAATGTTGGAGGGGTTGGGGACTATCTGTATATTATGGGACTGCACAAAACTCAATTAACTTGACTCTGAATCCAACACCTTTGTACTCTTGGTATGCTACCTGAGAATATCACACACAAAAACAATAATATTGAAACAATAATAATAAAACATGTATTTATTAAGAATATACATTTTAAGATAGTAAAATTTCTTCCATTACAGAAACCTCAGAAACAGAAATCTAAACAAATAAAACCAAAACCCAAAGTGTTTGCATGTAATTACAGTGTGAATCAACACTTTATCCAGTACGAGCAGTATTTATTTTGTTGTCTTGCACATATTGTAAACTGTGTGTGAAGAACTGATGTCTTCTTGGTTTAAACTGCTTTTCCAAATCTATAAAGCATATTTGAATTTGACTGAATTGACAGATGAAGAGAAAGAGACACAAATAAAGAGATAAAGGTAGAGAGACTGAAAGGTAGAGAGACACTCACTTCACTCTGTAGTTCAGTCACTTCTTTGGCGTGTTTGGTCTCCAGAGTTTCAGGCAGTTTGGAGTAGAGGGACGACGCCGTCTGCTGCTTCCCAGCCTGCTTGTACTTCAGCTGCCATTCACACACACACACACACACACACAGTAAATGACCACTTCCACTACAATCACACCAACCCTGTGCACTCTATCAAACCCACAACAGTCCTCCTCGAGACTCTGTCACTACCAACTAAACAAACCTCTATCTTCTTTCCTTTGACCACCGTTATCAGTCAGGCATCCTATTGGTTGTTGCTATAGCAACCGCTATGTGACATCATCAGATTTATCAGCTGTCGACCAATAGCATTTCAGCTTCAGGCCCTGTTTGACCTGACACATTTAAATATGGGATAAATCAGTGGTTCCCAACCTTTTCCTAATTGGACCCCCTGACTACCAACTGACTAAATTCCATATTTTATGGATATTTCACATTATATTCAATGTTTAAAAGACAGAACAACTTCAGTAACTGCACAAAGTTTGTGTAAAACGATGAATTTTGAGCAGATTATTGAGATGAGTTTTTATTATGTTTTTAAGAACTTTTTATACAATTCTCTGTCTGTATTATGTTTTCATTTTTTTAAACAATCATACTGAATAGGCTTCTTTTTTCTCTCCCTGACGTTCTGTTAGCTCTTTGGTTGTTATAACTGTGTACTTTTTTTAATGCAGGGGGATGAGATATAGGCCTGCTGTGTATATTCTTAAAGTTTTCTTACACCCCTTAAAATCAAGAAGGCCTCGCGACTCTCTGTGAAGCTAGTGGGAATCCCACTGGGATAAATGAAAGACATCGTTGAAGGTCAGATAGAGATAGTGTCTTATTTTGTTACCATCCAGTCTCCACGTAAATACCAGGTAATCAGCGGACTATAAACTACATTCTCCTGATCAGTGTTGACGAGTATAAAGAGTTCCCACCTCGCTGTGTGTCTCCGCCATCTCTTTCACAAACTGAGTCTGCAGAGTTTCAGGCATTATGGAGTATAAAGTGATGGGCAGATCCTCTTTGTCCTTCTTGTACGTCACCTGAAGAGGAGACAAAACGGCCAAAACATGTAAACAGAGAAGCTGAAAAAGGAGAGAATAAAAGTCAGAACGGAGCGCCACTGCACCTCGCTCTGGATCTCCGACATATGTTTGGCGAAATACATCTCCGCTGTCTCGGGGAGGAGGTGGTAGAGCGACGAGGACGCATCCTTCTTACAGCCCTCCTTATATTTCACCTGCAAACACACAAATCATGACACAGGTCTTCCTGCAGCACCACAGAACACACACAGAGCAGCTGTGTAAAGGTGCATTGAGACTGAACACAAAGTGAATGCAAACAATGGACAGGTTCTGCTCTAGGTGGCAATTTTGCACTTTTCCTGAAGTTGTACCACTGATGCGTGTTTGTTGACTCTGTATTTCTAGAGAGGAGTTCTTTTGATGAATTTCAGAGTGATAAAGTTTGTCTTGGAGGCAGAATCTATCTGTAGCTGTAGCTTCAAACATTTTAGTGTTCAGCTGTCATTGTCGCCTAAGTAACATCTTATTTTTGGAACACCCTCCTCCTCCTCCTCCTCCTGCACTGATATGGAGGCGTTATAACAGCTTGACCAGCCCAGCATGGACAACAGCACTGAAAAAGCTTTGTATGTGGGGAGAAATGTCCTTTTCTCAAATTCAGAAATGTTGACGGTATGTTTTGAGAGTGTTATATTTTCTTTCTGCAATATCTGTACTGTACTGTCATATTTCACATGACAGATTTATGTATGTTTTTACTGGTTTGTGGCTGAGACTGAATCAAAATGTGATGACATTCGATGGGGTGTTTGGTCACTGTCAATGAAATCTGATAAAAACACGCTCACACACTCTGATGAAGCAGATTAGCTGAATTTCTGATCATTCTTAAATCCCCCTCCAGTAAAAATCAGCATTTCCTTTGGTTCCTACAGTCGGATGTTTGAGCTTCACAGTACAGAATGATGATTTGACTCTAGCAGGATGTTTCCACATTCATCTGCTGACAGTGGAAAGTTTGATTTTTTAAGGGGTGGAGCTTATGAGCACGATGTGTAACATAACAAGTAGTTTGGAAGTGATCCAGTACGCAACTTATCCACCAGTGCACAGACACTGAGGATGGACTTTACAGGGAAGTAGGAGACATCTTCCAACAGGAAAACTTTAGAAATGAACAAAATGTGCATACTCTGGACTTTTTAAGGATTTTAATGTGGAAATCAGACACACATTATTTTTTCAATCAGATTATTTGTACATATGTCTTAATACATGTCTGAAGGGGATATTATGTATGAATGTTTAAAGTCATGGAAAAACTGAAACCAAGTCTTCAGGTACTTATACTACAAACAAGGCTTTAACCTCATTAGTTATCCTGTGAGAGAGCTTCACTATGATTTCAACACTTTTTTAAATACTTTTAAAGCTCTTTCAGCAGCCTCCAACCAGTAGCAGCTCTCTTACAGAGGGACTTATCAGTGCTGTGTTCCAGTACAGCAAGTAAACAATGTAACTGTGGCACAATAGCAGCATGATACTAGTTAAGCAACCTTAATGTTTATCACCTGTGTTTCCCCTACTGTTTCATGTCAAATTCTGATCAGTTCATCCTTGAGTACAAGTGGATGTGGATTTGAAGTAAGTCCCTCGAGGTGTTCCAGAGATATCGCGTTAAAGTGCTGAAGTTAAGTGTTCCTCACCTGGCTCTGAAGCTCCGTTACCTCCTTGGCCAATTCAGTCTGGAGAGTTTGAGGAAGGCTGGAGAACAGACTGGACGACAACTCCTTCTGCACGTCCTCTTTGTACTTCACCTGCAGGGACGACAGTGTTCGTTTGTTTGTCACGTGTCTGATATTTAAAAATACACTGACCAGAGGACACATGTTTTATGCTTTTGAGGTTACATTGTAAAAATCTTGTTACTGATATTGATTTTTATGTTACTTTAATATTGTGATACTTGACAACAGGGGATTACTAATTGCATGGGATTAGATATTTTTAAAGTAACCCTCCCGACCCTCGCTGTAAGAGAGTGTGTGTGGGCGTAGGTGTGTGATCAGTACCTGGCTCTGTATCTGTGAGGCCTGCTTCGCGTGTTGAGTGTCCAGAGTTTCTGGCATCACAGAATACAGACAGCTGCCGGCCTCCTGCCTCCCAGACTTCTTATACTTTCTCTGGAAAAAGGAACATTTATACTGTCAGTGAGGTTGTAAAACAATGATTGCTCGGGAAGAGAAAAGAAAGTCTGATACACGTTTCTAAATTTCCTTCATCTTCTCTCTTGTGAAATACTGAACAGTTTTAACTCCTCAGGCCTCTGAAGTTAATTAAAAGAAACACATGAGAAGAAAAATAATACAGTAACACTTTACATTAAGCTGCACAAATTCACCGTTAAGTAGCTGTTTATTAGGTGAATATTAGTAGCATATTGGCTCTTTATTAGTCATTATAAAGCACGTATTAATGCCTAATCTGCAGGAACATATTCTGCAACTACTAGGCCATTAACTAAAGGTTTTCCATCAATAATCTCCTAATTACTGCTTATTGATATTGCAATAAAGATCTTAAGATGCCTTGCTCAGCATGGGCCTCATTATACTCATTCTCCTTTAATAACACTTACGTAACAAAACACAAAACTACCTGATGGAGCTTTAACCTTGGTTATCTTCACGTTCTGAGCTGTCTTATTTATGCACTGTATCTATTCACGCGTGGATTTATTGGCTTTATCCTCTTATCTCACCGTGCTCTGCAGCTCAGAAACACTTTTAGCAAACTGAGTCTCAGCGGTTTCTGGCAGCTGGGAGTAGAAGCTCTGAGAGAGGCTCTTCATCCCGTTCTCTTTGTACTTGTTCTACAACCAGAGACAGAAAAACATACAGATCATAATTAGTAATAACATGATATTAGCACGAAACAGCTTGAGTGTTTTTTTAATGACTGCAACCGGAGTTTATGCCAGAGTCTGATACATGTTTAATAATAGCTACCACTTTTTTTTTATCCATGTGAGAAGAACTGAGAGCTCCACAGAAACAGATGGACTCAAAACAGAAAAGAAAAGTCACTCATTCATAATAGATTCACCCATTCATAACTAATCAAACACAGCAGCAGTCTGTTCTCCGGCGCATCACGACAGAAATCCATCACATCCTCCAGAGTCACCTCACACGTTCTCCTCGCACACCTTCAAACCTCACAGAGGCTAACAGGCCAGGAGCAGCCACAGAAAGCAATGTGATGTTCCTGCCATGAAGATAAATCACTGCCAGAGACGCCGGTTTGTGCCAGATGACTCTTGTTAAAATAAATCATCGTTTCACTTTTGGAAGTTTCACATCTTCTGCAGAAACAATGTGCTGTCTAACGGTTGATCTGAGGTTACTTTTAAATCAGTGCTGCAGCTGAACAGACATCTTGTGTCCTCTGATGAGCTTTCATGTTATTAGGTTTGTCACTAATGTCCCATGATAGCAACTGAATCATCTTAAGGACAACTGAACAAACTCCATTCTCCAACAAAGGCCATGAGATGTGACTGAAAGCTCATTAAAGGTCTGTTGTTCATCAGTGTATAATCAGCTGAATACTGTAATCATTGTGTTTTTCGTACCTTTTTATCTACAGATTCCAAACATGCCATGTTTCTACTGTAGCTGTTTCTTCTTCGCACTAGGAAGGAAGAACTCTACAACTACAACGGTAGATGCCACTAAATCCTACAGACTTTAAGTGGAACCAGTGCTAACAGTTAAATACATGGGGAGACAGTAGGGGAGTAACGGAAGAGTGTTCCCACACTGTGAAGGGGTTTTTTTGCTCTCACTTGACTCTGCATGTCGGTGAGCTCTCGGGCAAACTGGTTCTCCAGAGTGTCAGGCATCTGGTGGTAAACTGGACATGACAGCTCCTTCTTAACAGCCTCTTTATACAGGATCTACAGGACGTACAGGGGACACAGAGACACTGACTCAGAATAATACAACAAACCTGTGATAATGTTGTTAAAGGATTGAATGTTTTAGCTCCTCCACATAATGGATTACAGATAAATTGTGTAAAAGAGTTTAAACACAGTTTCCTGTGTTAGCTACATTAGTGCCTGATACATGTGCGTACCTGACTCTGGAGCTGTGACGCCTCTTTGGCGTGTTGCGTCTCCAGAGTTTCAGGCAGTCTGTGATACAGAGACGTTGCTGTCTGCTTCTTACTGGCCTCTTTGTATTTAGCCTGGAAGACACAAAGAGGAACCAGATTCAGTTAGAAGTCAGGATTTTGTTCTGTTGTTTCAATCCAACGCAGTTAACTCTAAACTCTAAAACTATTTGCCATAAAATCTCAATAAATAGTGTTTCTTTTGGTCATTTTGTCTTTATTTGATAGAGGGAAGGACAGGAAGTGTGAGGAGGTGCCCACCTGGAACCAACCCTGGGATGTTATAACGTATCTTAAACTAGGCCACTGGATCTGAGTAAATTTAGTGTCTATTTTATCCTCCTTCGCCTGAATGCCACATTATTGATGCTGCACACAAAATTATGAAAAAGAGGCTTTGGCTGGATGCTGGGTGAAAATTTAGCTGCTTCATCAACCCAGTCACAGAAAGAGCTAACGTAAATCCATCAGTAGAGAAATCTGGAATGATGAAAAAACATTATTATCTTTCAGATAAGTGTCATCACTATCCTATGTTCTGTTACATCCCTGTCATCTCTGAACATAATCTATGATTTATTTAGTAAATCTGAGAAAATTACAGACTTTATCTTGTGTGAATATGCCGCTTGAATGTGCTGAATCATATGAGGTCTGTAGGTGATTCTGTTTGAGTGTGAATCGACCGCACAGTGAATACTCAGCACACAGACAGCAGCCTGGACCCACCTCACTCTGCATTTCTGTCTGCTCTTTAGCATGCTGGCTGTCGATGGTGTCGGGGAGCAGAGAGTACAGGTTGACGCTCATCTCTTTCTTACCATCTTCTTTGTACTTGACCTTGTGATGAAACAAGATACAGTCAGAAGGAGGACAGTAAGACGTTACCAAATAAATCTCTAAATGAAAGCCAAAGTTGTGGACTGTGGGATAAAACAAACAGCTTTACACATATGACACATGTCATACCTCACTGAGCAACTCCATCTGCTCTCTGGCAAACTGAGTGTCGATGGTTTCCGGCATCAGGTGATACAGACTGGAGGCGTCTTTCTTCGAACTCTGCTTGTACTTCAGCTGTAATGCACACGATCAAACCACCATCACTTTATCCGGTTCAGTTAAATCAACACATGTATACGATGAAAACAGCAGGAAGAACAATAAAACAAATGGACAGCTGAGGAAATGTGCTTCTTTTGGTGTTTACTGTGGTATATCTCATCAGTGGATCCCATATGGATCCCATCCAGCTCAGGTTTGAGGTTGAGGGAGAGGGTTTGGTCAGGTATAGTTTTATGAGCCTGTACAAAAGCCTTACTTTCTGAACAAAGCTGCAAAGTTCTTAAAGGTTTCCAAACTAACACTTTCTTTATTGGCAGACTGAATAGTTCTCTGATTTTCAATAAAGTGTCTGACAAAGACAGCTGGACAGATGTTGGCTGTTTTGGTTGGTTCAGCTGTGGGTGTGTGTGTGTGTGTGCGTACCTGACTCTGCAGCTGTGAAGCCTCTTTGGCGTGCTGTGTTTCCAGAGTCTCAGGTAGAGTCGAGTACAGAGAGCTCGTCACTCCTTTCTTCCCTGCTTCTTTGTACTTCATCTGAAACAGAACGCAAACCAAAACTGAACGTATTGCTTCAGATTGTTTTTCAAACCTTTACCTGCTTCAGACGTCATCAGCGCTTTTTATGTGGTCATCGGGACTCCACATGTACACAGACCTGCTGTCTCTGAGTCTCTGCACCAGATGCTACAGTATCTGTCATTTTCCTATTTAGCTGAAGATAGCTGTGAAACCCGGAGAGAGTCAGTGCTCATGTAAGAGAGACAGAAGCCGTGTTTACATTCAAATGTATCGCAAATTTGAGTCAGCCGAAGAAAACGCAAATGAATGCTTGTTTCCATCCACTACCTGATGTCACCAAAATGTCAAGGATTCATGTAAATTAGCCAGATAGTTAGCTAGTATTTTGCATCAGCTATCAGATGCAACAAGCTCACTAACAATTATAGTAGTATAATTATAATATTTATAATTATAATATAAGTATATTAGCTAGCTAGTTAGCAGATTTTGGTAACATAAGCTTCTTTAAAATGTGACTATCTATAGGTCGCTTTTGTCTTGGTTCAGTTGGTTCATTGTTATAAGCAGTAAGCAAGTAAGTCTCCAGTCGGAAAACCAAGAAGAAGAGATCGCAACAAGATGCCGTAATTAACATAATTTAACATAAATTACGTAAAACCAACGCAGAAAACAGGATGTAAATGACATTTTGGTTTGTTTTATGTAATAATGTGAGCAAGGTTACATCAGAGCTGTGTGGATCATGTATGTATGTTGTATGGCTGTATCATAGAGCCATGAGAGCCATGAGGAGACTGACGGAGCAGAAACAGCTGATCAAGTCAACTTGTCAAAATATGTTGATGGAAACACAGTTACTGACATATAGAGCTGTATCATCTGCGTAACCTGATTCAGGATTTGTTCACCTGGAATCAGCTTTTAAATTTGATAAGAATGACACTCTAATGTTGACATTTTTAGGTAACATTTCTGTAATATTTTACTGAACTCTTTCTACCTGTGCATTAAAACTACAAGGCACCCAGATGTTACAAAGCATGCTGCTTTCTAGTGCTACAGGATTTTTAAACAAAATACTTCAGGACTTCCTTCATGAAATGATTCTCCTTACCTCACTCTGTAGCTCGGAGACAGTTTTAGCAAACTGAGTCTCAGTTGTTTCTGGTAGCTGAGAGTAAAAACTCTGAGAGAGGCTTCTCTTTCCGTCTTCTTTGTACTTGTTCTGGAGAAGATGGAAACAAAAGAGATGAGTATGACCTATAAACAAGGCAGGATTCTCAGGTACTAACACAAACAGCAAGGGGTACAATAGCATTCATAGCAGGGGTTCACAAACTGCAACAGCAAGCACAATTTATTAATCTACACCTGAATATTGAGCAGCTCCACTATGAGACCCTCGTGCTGCAGAAAAACTGGTACAGATCTGATATCCCATCTTTCCCTGGTCACAGGTCAGATATTGTTAATGACTCTTCTCCAATGCACGTTACAAATGGACTGTGATACCCCTTTGATCCAGTCTTTGATGCTAATCTGGCCTCTGATGAGTGTCTAAGGTATAAAAACATCAGAGAGCATTGGATAATGGGGAAGTGATTATTTATAACTAATCAAACAGCATTCTTACAGCAGCTCTCTCTCTCCGCACTTCAGTTACTTTGAGGAGGCATCGGCTCTCAGTTGAGGCACATCCTGAATGTTTATTTAATCTCACTCCAAAATGTTTGAGGGTGAAGAAACAATGTATGATTACTCACATTTTTTTGTTTGAATGCACATTTTTATAGTTCTAGATTTATCACAGTTCTAAATCAGTGCACAAGACAAATACAGAAACAGTATCCCTCTCTACAAATCATTAAATGAGAGATATATTATAACGTAATGAAGGAACATGTAACACAATGGGGTGTTATGTTAAAATCTAAAAATATCTTTACCCAAATTGTGTGACCACTGGCTCTCTGGTTTTTTTATTTACCTCGCTCTGCATGTCAGTCATCTCTCTGGCGAAGCTGGTCTCTGACGTGTCGGACAGGGTGGAGAAGAGTGAGCTGGACATCTCCTTCTTTCCGCTTTCCTTGTATTTGATCTGGGAAATAACATCAGAGGAAGATGGGTGATTGTTATTCCAACTAGCTCAACTTGTTTTTCTGATAACTTAACATCTAGGTGTCAGATGATTAAAACATACAGTTAAAAACCACCAAGATCTAAAAAAATATACTGTAAAAATGGCTTAAACTGGATAAAAAGTAAATTTATTCTGGCAGCACAGAACAAAAAGGGGCGGGGCTTAGGATGGGTTAATTAGGAACATATTCTTGAGTCCCACCTCTGGGTTACACTGGAAAACTGTCCTCAGATAATAGCAGAAGAAAACACCATGTTTACCTCACTGAGCAGCTCTGCAGCTTCTTTAGCGTGCTGCGTCTCCATGGTGAGGGGCAGGAGGGAGTACAGGTTCGTGTTCACCTCTTTCTTACCAGCCTCCCTGTACTTATTCTGCAGATTGACATGAACACAGTTACTTTGTGCAACACACTCCAATGCAGCCTCTAATGACTCTTCTGTCCATGAGGAGTTTAAATAAGTTAGTTCAATCATTTATATGTTGTTTGCCTTATTAATCATCCTGAGTCCAGATCAATCTCAGGTTTTAGAATCAAAGCACAGACGTTAATGGAAATATAATCTTTTAATTTCTTTTTGTCCTCTGATCATCAACAGATGATGACAGACTCTTAGCACAACAGAAGAACAGCAACACTTCAAATTGTCCCTGGTTCAAATTAAATAATATTTAAGATCCAGTTCTGTACCTCGCTCTGCAGCTCAGACAGCTCTTTGGCCAGCTTTGTCTCTGTGGTCTCTGGCAGCTGATGGTACAAACTGCTCTGATTCTTCTGCTTCAGACCTTCTTTATACCTCACCTGCAGGAGACAGCAAGTACTATAAAATACAAATATAAACAGGAAAATAATACCCAGAATAAAGATTTTCTAAGAATAAGAATTGTTAAATAGATTAACTTTAGTTTTATCTCTTAATATGATTTGATTTTGATACCTGGGGTTATGATTTTATTCTCTGTTGTGTATTAAGACCCTTGAATACTGAATGAGTCATGTCAGGCTTATTCTTCCAAAGTGCGTCCTTCAATGAGAACTGAACTGGCTGAATTTCTTGCTGCTCCATTATATATAAGCTTTAGTTAGCTAGGTAGTTAGCAGCAACTGACTACCCCAGGAGTCAGCAACCTCAAAAAATATGTTTTCAAATTTATAAAAATCAGTCTGGGGCTGCAAAACATGTTTGAGCCTTATAATGCTAAGAGCTAAGCCAGAAGCGTTGGTGGAGAAAGCGAACAAATCTTTCCACGCACTATTAAAGGCTCTATTTTCCTCCGAGACTTTTCTTATTTTGGATTTGAAAGTCGAGCGAGAAAGACTCACTATTGAGGTTCAGCAAAAATATAAAGGAAAAGGCGCCTGCTGAGAAGGTAACATATTATGCACATTTTAGCTGACGTCATTTCTATATAATCTGCTGCCACAGGAGAGGGGCTAAAAAGCTGCATTTGGCATATTTCCGGAGCTACCCCTGGACTACCCAGTAGCCACACTCCACACACTGAAGCCAGAGAGGGCACACGGCAAGTCAACATTGTCAGAAAACAGGAGAAAACTGAAACTGTACTTGATGGAAGAAGAAAAAAGATTTGTAGATCGTAATTTTAACATGAATTGTTTGCCACATTTGAAATTATCAGCAGATTCAGACATCTTCTTTTTAAGTGCATGGGGCTTTAAGACGGGCTTATAACACCCATTTTGTCATTTTTTCAAATGAAATGAATCATTCTCTTTCTACACAGCGAGTGGAAGGATACAAGAGGAAACAAGTAACCAAAGAACCAAGAAATAACTCATTTGAATACCTCACTCTGCAGGTTTGACACCTCTTTAGCATGCTGGGTGTCGATGGTCTCAGGCAGCAGAGAGTACAGGTTGATGCTCATCTCCTTCTTACCGTCCTCTTTATACTTCACCTGAAAAAAAACAACAACACATTTTTTGATCTGCAGCTTCTTCCACCAACACAAAATCAAGTCGGAGGAGGTTCTTTCTAAAACTGCGAGCACACAGTAAGTTCTGATTTCTGATTCTGATTCTTCATCGTTACCTCGCTGAGGAGCTCGGAGACTTCCTTAGCGTGGGCCGTCTCTAAGGTCTCAGGCAGCACGTGGAACAGACTGGACGAACGACCTTTCTTCAGGGCCGCCTTGTACTTCAGCTGAGCACAAACAGGAGCAGAGACAATTATCCATCTATGAAAAGGATAAACGTGTGTTTGTTCCTGCGTGTAGGTGTGTGTGTGTGTGTGGACAATGCAGGCTGTTTTCACCTCACTCTGCAGTTCAGAAGCCTCTTTAGCGTGCAGCGTCTCCAGAGTCTCAGGCAGAGTGGAATACAGAGAGCTGGAAACGTCTTTCTTTCCCTGTTTGTACTTCATCTAAATCAATTCAATGAAAAAATTTTAAGGACCAAAATCTGCTGATAATTAATTAACGTCAACAACAAAAACAAGTTCAAGGTCAAGTCTTTTATATATATTAACTATATTTATGATTTAGGCTAAACTTTAGGGCTGTACGTAACAATAATCTGTACCTTGTGGTGTGCTGTGAATAAAACTGAATGAGTTATTGGAAATAAGACGCTGTTCTTTGTTGTTTTTTAAAAAGATATTTTGGCCTTTTATGCCTTTATTTGATAGGACAGGTCAAGATAGACAGGAAGTAGGGGAGAGAGAGGGGGGACGACATGCAGCAAAGGGCAACAGGTTGGATTTATCCCGGGCCACTGCGGTAAGGACTCCTTGCACCTACATGGGCGCGTGCTCTACCAGGTGAGCAATAGTTTCAGCAGTAAGCATTAACAGCTTTTACATTATGTAATAACCTCTCTATATAGCAGTTTTCATTATTAGTGGCAGAGTCCGCCACCGCCATGCTGGATTTAAATTACATTCACCCTTAGAAGGACATGTGGCACAGTCACACATTCTAATTGATGAATATTCCCCTCGCACTGACTTCCAGTATGTGCTGTAGTATTAAACCACATCTGCTGTTATCAAATTGACCCGGGTTACAACTTTAATGTTATAATACAATGAAAATGGAATTGGGGGGTCACATTCTGCTCATTTCTGTTGTCTCTTGGGTTTATTCTCAGCACTGGTTTCTCTCTGTTTAGACAGAGAAGTCCTCACCTCGCTCTGCAGCTCAGAAACAGTTTTAGCAAACTGAGTCTCTGTGGTCTCTGGCAGCTGACTGTAGACACTCTGTGAACGGCTCTTTATCCCATTCTCCTTGTACTTACTCTGTAAAAGACAGAAAACCAAAAAAACAAAGTGTTACTTCTGTGTAAGGTTCAGTTTAATCACTTTATTTCTCAGGTAGGTTGTGTTTCTGTCTTTCTAACTCATATAAAATTTTGTTCATTTATAAAGTTTTCCTGCTGAACACAAGACGTCTCCTCTGTCACTGTAAAGTCCATCCTCAGTGTCTGTGCACTGGTGGATCAGTTGCATACTGGATCAGGATGGACTTTCAGCAGATACACTAAACATCTGATTTCTGACTGGAGGCGACTTTAAGTAACAAAAACTGTGACCTGGCCCTCAGTTAAAAACATTTTGCATCTACCTGCTGACATGAACCTCTTTTTCTATTAATAGCAAAGCTGACATTGTGGCCCTCATATTTTTTGCTCTTCCTTGTCACTGTGTATATTTAATGGTTTTCTTTTCATTATCTGTGTTTGATGAACACATCTCTGTGTCCTCGCAGACCAACGCTGAGGCTGAGCCAAGCCTCATTAATCTGGACTGTATCTGTACGACATTGTTGGGAATGCAAATGAAAGGCTGCAGCGTAGATAACCTCTTTGATCCCTTTTTGATGGTAATCACACTTGTGATGACCAATTCATGATAAAAACCAGCAACGATAGAGCTGATAACACCGCAGCTTTCTGCAGTTGTTTAAATTCTGAACACCTTCCTGTTCTTTGAGGACTGTGTCAACGCTCAATGTTACATCAGTCTCATTTTATCTCAAGAGTTTTCATTACAGCAGCTGGTTTGTCTTTTGATTAAAAATGTATATTGGTTCCATTCACAGCTTTATGTTTATTAAATGTATATACTTCATTATTGTTAGTTGTAGTCATAGACTGTGTATAAAGATGGACCACATGTTTCTACTTCCTCCTAAAGATGCCCCTATGGTAGTTAAAACATGAAAACATTAAAGTTCCCACTAAGGTGCTAATCCTAACTATAACCCTAAAATGTTTCACCATCAGCTGTCACATGAAACCCCCTTTTTATGGCATCAAATAACAAATTAAAACCAAACTCACCTGAACCTGAACATACATACAGTGTGATAAGAACCACGCAGTCTGAAATGACCAACAAAAATATACACAAAACATTTCATTTCTCTGTAGGGTTGTGTGATCAGAGACTAAGCTGTCAGTGGCAAAAACAAGCACCTTTGTATGTTAACGGTGTGCAAGGATTACATTGCAACCTGCAACCTTTCTAGCCTTCTGACCACTCGAAGCGCTTTTACACGGCATGCCACATTAACCCATATTGATTCAGTGATCACAAACAGAAACTCATTTCTCAAACTCATGCTCAAGGAGATGCAGCAGGAGGAGCTGGGGATCGAACCACCAATCTTCTGCTTAGTGAACAACCCGCTCTACCTCCTGATAGCCACAGCAAATCTCCTGTCTCCTATCATACGTCATGCACAGCCCAGTATGTCATGAGTAGAGCTGATGTCTGATTCTGATGAATGTCGGTACCTCGCTCAGCATGTCAGTCATCTCTCTGGCGAAGCTGGTTTCTGAAGTGTTGGGCAGAGTGGAGTAAATGGAGCTGGACCTCTCCTTCTTCCCACTCTCCTTGTACTTAATCTGGAAAAAAACACACATTGAGAAAAGCACACAATCTTCACAGAGCAGTCTGATGTACGTCCTGTACGTCCACAGTATTTGAAGACTCATGTTAAGAAGCAAAGCTGCCTATGTACCTCACTGAGCAGCTCAGTGGTCTCTTTAGCGTGCTGAGTGTCCAGGGTTTCAGGCAGAAGAGAGTACAGGCAGGTATTCACTTCTTTCTTTCCCGCTTCTTTATACTTGGCCTGCAGAGACACAAAACACAACCTTTATGCCGTTTTTTACTTCTCTCAGCCAATTACGGCTGCATGCCTCTTGTCTTTATGTATGAATTAAAATTCAAAAATATTAAATATGTTGTTAATTGTACTGTAGTGAAGAAACTTGAAACTCTTGAGATTAAAAAAGTTTAGGTTTGATTAACATTAAAACTCCATTAATACTGTAAATGCTTAAATTCATTATAAGCAGGTGTCTAATATTTGAAATTATATAATGTGTTATTAAGGAGAAACTCATTATCCCCCTTTAAAGTTTCTTGAATCAATAATTATGGGCCTGTTTAATTTACTTTAAAACACCTTCATTTAGATCATTTAAAGGAATACATTCATATTTAATTCATGTGTTTAACTGTTTTCTTGTGCTAATGTGTCAAACCACCGTACGCAACATAAAACATGAATATAACTGTTTTAAAATCTCTAACGTGGAGTATTTTTCAGTCACATGGCAGTGATGTATCAAATAAAGTAACTCCGGCCTCTGCCTTCAGAAATGAGACATTTTGGGTTTTAGTGATTTACAGTGAAAGCTTTGGGTGAGTGAGAAGTGATGCTTCAGAGAGCTGAAGTAGTTCAAACTGCTGCCTGAGAGCAGCTCCACAGAATACAGTTCCACACTCTCATAACAGAACAGCGTATTTAGCACAATCCTCTTCATCTCAACAGCTTTTACAAATGTCTACATCGTACTTCATGCTGCTGCAGGAAAAACACACATGATCATCTCAGTGCTCTGTCGGTATCGTGGCTAACAAGGAGTTGTTTTTAGCATAAAAGTGTTCATGTTGTGTTATTGAGAAGAACTGCGGTGTCATGCTCTGTACCTCGCTCTGCAGCTCAGACAGCTGTTTGGCCAGCTGTGTCTCTGTGGTCTCTGGGAGCTGATGGTACAAACTGCTCTGATTCTTCTGCTTCAGACCTTCTTTATACTTCACCTGCAGGAGACAGGAATGGATCCGTTTTAAACCAACACAAAATAGCCGTTAACCTTCGAGCTGATTTAAATTACTTAACTATTGGGGCAACAAAATTATCCAAGGAAAGATCTAAAAGTGTAAGTGGAAGTGGAAAAACCTTTTATAGACTGATTAGAGGTTTATTGCAATCAGAGATAATGATAAATGATAACTTTTATTGACTAATGTATACAATGTCCAAAATGAATGTTTTCATATTAAGTAATGTAATTGTATTGACCATATGACGTTTTTACTGTAGCCCTATTTCTATTCCTATATAAGGTAAGTCATTTGAATACCTCACTCTGCAGGTTCGACACCTCTTTAGCGTGCTGGGTATCGATGGTCTCAGGCAGCAGAGAGTACAGGTTGATGCTCATCTCCTTCTTACCATCCTCTTTATACTTCACCTGCAATAACACAAGAATTATAATACACTGACATGTTAAATGCAAATTAAGCGACACAAAATATATCTCACCATTACATTTTATAACGGAACATAACATAAAAATCACAGTTAATATCATCTCAGCGTACTTTATCAGCGTACTGGCCACCCCAAGTGCCACCCCATTATCCTTCACTCTTCCACCCACACTGTCTTTCACAGGCTGTAGTGGGCTCCATTTTAAAGCTACAGTGAACATACTGGTATCCCATGAAACTTGATGACCTAACATGTCAGGCTAAGATGATAGGAAGAGGCTCTAAAGTTAGGGTAAATTTTGGCCATGGAAAAAGGAGTCCCCTGACCTCTGACCTCAAGATATGAATGAAATGGGTTTAATGAGTACCCACAAGTCTCCCCTTTACACATAATTAATATTTCTGCACACTGGGGTCCATAAACTGTGTTGGAATTGCAGAAATTGGGAATAACTGGACAGCTGAAACACGTACTCGATGCCACCCCTGCATAAGTCAGTGTCGCATTTGTGCAACCCAAAACTGAATTTATTGGCCAGCATTATTGTCCCTGTGGTTTTACCTCACTTAAGAGCTCAGACACTTCCTTGGCGTGAGCTGTCTCTAAAGTCTCCGGCAGAAGGGAATATAAGCACGAGTTCACGCCCTTCTTACCCGCTTCCTTGTACCGCATCTAAAAATAAAAACACACTTTAATGTACTGTAGGTTTTTAAAACGTGCACAAAAGTCTCTGAGGATCAGCAAACTTTAAAGGAGAGAATGTTTAATCTGTTCTTTAGAAGCAAACAATAGCCCAGCGAGGCTTTTCTCTGAGCACTGATTATATTTATTACTGTAAGACGCTCTCTCACCTCGCTCTGCAGCTCAGCAACAGTTTTAGCAAACTGAGTCTCTGCGGTCTCCGGGAGCTGAGAGTAGAAACTCTGAGAGAGGCTCTTCCTCCCGCCCTCCTTGTATTTACTCTACAAGAGGGCAAAACAATCTGTCAGCAGCTTGCAGGGAAGTTACTGTGTGTTATTTATTGACAAGCTTTGTTTAAAGGTCCGGTGTGTAACATTGAGG